GCCCCGGCCTTGCAGGAGACACTGGGGAGACAGGAGGCAGTGTTCACTGCTGGCCGCAGCACCCCGACAGCCGCAGCACCCCTCTTCTGCCCGTGCCCCCAGGCAGACGCAGGGTCACCTTCCGCCGCTTCAGGTTGCGGGGACCTGCGTTAGGCCGTTTTGCTAACGAGGAAACCCAAGGGGACTTGTGCTTTGAGGGCAAAAAAGCAAAGAACAGAACTCGCATGCGGTGGGCTTGCCGTGGCCTTCTGACGCCCCCGGGGCCCCCGGCCGCCCCGGCCCACAGCGTGGGGGGCTGCGTGTGCATGAGGTGTCGGTCCCTGGTGTTATCGTTTGGTGGCTCATTGGGGGGCCTGGGGACGCCCAGAAGTGTGTCCATCCGATCCCTTGGCCCACAGTAGCCCCGGAGGGGCGGAGGGGAGCCCCCCACTCGTAGCCATCGACAGAGACGTGGATACTGGGGACCCACCCCTTGTGACTGCATCTGAAACGGGGGCGTGTCTGCGGGTGGGGTGAGGTGGCGTGAGGTCCGGGCCTGGGAGGGGCGGTGCCCCGGGGGAACCCGCAGGTTGGCGTCGGGCATGCAGTGAGTTCGGGGTTGCCAAGATGCCGAGGCCAAGGGGCAGAGAGTAAGAGCGCCGAGGGCTGAGGCCTCGGTGGGGTCTCCAGGCCCTGGGCCGGGCCCCACCCAGCCTGGGACCGGGGAGCGGGTCCCTCCCTGTCCTCCAGGTGGGAGGGCAGCTCACGCCCACCTGGCTTTCAGCTGGGAGCCACCCCAAGCCCGGCCAAGCCTCCCCCCGCCTCGGGCCCGAGGAAACGCAGGTCCCTCATCACTTCCCGGCGCTGAGTAATCCCGGTGCTGCGGCCGCCCACCCCGGGCCTCTGCTAGCTGCCGGGCTGGCTAAGGGCCTGGCACAGGCCGCGTGCCGAGGAGGCGCACCAACCTGTGGCTGCCCCCCCGTCCTCACGCCGCCTCCTCACGTTTGGCTGGATACAGGCTCTGAGGGTGGACACACTGCCCCCCGCCGCCCCCAACATTTTGAAAGTTTTGAGCCTGCCGCTGTTGCTGCCGAGAAGTCCACTGTCCTCCTGAGGCCTGGCTCTCGGCGGGAGGCCAATTCGCTCTGTTTTTAGATCTTTTCTTTGTCCCTGGGGTGCAACGTTTTAGCAGGTTGTGCCTGGACTCGGGCCTCTTCAGCATCAGGCGGGGAAGGACCGCCGGGGCGGGGGCGAGAGCTCCTGGCCAGACCACACCCGGAAGCCCTGGCCATCGTCCAGCTGCGCTTCCTCCACGGGGCGACGGTCTCCTGGGCAGCTCGGCCCAGCAGTGAGGCCGGCACATGCCTGGAACCTTCCCAGCGTCCCTGCCGGGACCGTGTTGTCTCCGCAGGGCCTGGCCTGCCCTGCACTCTGCTCTCGCTCTTCGGCAGGTCGGTGGGGGGTGCCGTTGGGGTTTGGATGCGGGTGGAGAGTTGCGTGCACGCCGTGAGGTCCCGGTGGTGTGGACAGATCCAGGAGCTGGAAGAGCAGGGCCAGGGCTGCAGCAGGGGGCGCTGCCCACCTGCCCGCACCCTGGGGCAGAATCCAAGTCCGGCGTCTGCCGCAGCCGTCAGCCTCAAGGGGCTTCTGAAGTGTTTGTCAAGGTAGGAGGGCGGCGCGTGCCCTGCTCCTTAGCTTCATTTGTCACGACTTAAAAAACCAGACAAATGGCACAGATCCCATAAGCCCGCGGACGCCACAGGCCCCGAGCGCGCCCCGTCCCAGACCCTGCGCCAGGGTAGGCTGGGCTCCGGCCTGGAAACCCTGCCTGCCCGTTTCTCGAGACGTAGATGGCTCCTCCCGCCGCCCTGCTCACGCCCTCTGGGTCCGGCAGCTGCGTGTGCACGCCCGGCTGCTATGCGCTACTTCCCCAGCTTTTCCTCTTATCTTCCTTCCTTTCTTTCCCTCCCTCCCTCCTTTTTTCTTTCTTTCTTTTGCTTTTCTGCTGTTTTCTTTCTGCTTTTTTTTTTCTCTGCCAGGCTTTCTATTTAAAACTGTTCATTTCTTAATCATATATTTAGTTTCCAAAACCTCTTACATATCCTTTGACTGCTCCTATTATTTCAGCTCTTTGTCTTCTCCCTGCAAGGACATCCAGGTTACTTTTTTTTTTTTTTTTTACTAGCTTGTCTATTTCTCTGTTTGGTTTTCTTTTGGGGCAGAGGGGAAGTGAAATCAGATGTCTTATTTAGTTGTAAGAATCTCTTGTGTTATTCTTATACAAATCCTTTAATAGATGCATATTGTGGATTATTTTGTTAATCAAAGTGTGTTACTTGACTTCCTATTTTCTTAACGGTATCTTCTTAGAACAAAAGATTTATACTTTTTGTGAGCCCCATGGATTGATTCCTTTATGTGTTTGTACTCTTGTCATATATAAGAACTCTTTGACCAGCCCAAGGTCATAAAGAGCTTCCTCTTTTTTTCTTCTAAAATTCTTATTGAATGTATGCCTTAAGACTTTCTCAAATTCCTTTATTGAATGACATGCCACCACATACATTTTCAAAACTCAACGTATTTTCAGATACGTCGAGGCGAGACGGAGAAACTTACGTAGCATGGTACAAATTTGGGTTGCAGCTCGGTGGTGAGCGAATAAGAACCATTCTGCTTTTTGCACTTTGGAATTTTTTATAAATATTCGTATCATGTCAGTTTTGCGGGTGCCTTGAGGCGGCAGAGCACATACCGGTGTCTGCAGCTCTGAGCCTGGGCAGTCTGGGCGGCCACGCGGACGCTTGTGCTGTCTGTGTCCAGCCGCGCCCCTATTGCTGTGAAACGCTCCTCTTTCTTTCTGGTAATCCTTTGTGTCTTGAAGTTGACTTCAGATATTAATATAAACACTCCAGAAGTATGTTACAGCTTATGTGATACATCTTTTTCCAACCACTGACTTGCAAACTATCTTTTTAACAAAAGCCCGTCTTTCACACACACCTTATCGTAGAGTTTTGCTTTTGAAAAATACATTCCGACCCCCTTGGCCTTTTCATCGGAGTGCTCAGTCTCGTCTGTGGCTGGGCTTCCATGTTTGCACGCACTTGACTTGCGGTGTCTGCTGTACTTCTGATTTTGTAGTCATCACGTATTTCTGGCGACAGCCCTGGGCACGGCTTCTCTGCTGACCTGCAGAGACTGCAGTGCACATCCTCAATTTCCCACTCTGCTTCGAGTTGCCGTCCCTGGGCTGGTGCCGGGCGGCGGCAGCCCCCCCCAGCCCGCTCTCTGCTGCGGCCACCCGACTGCCCCCGCCGGCCTCCACCCAGCCCTTCACCCCTCGCCTCACACAGGCATGTCGCGGTTAGCGGGAGACCCCCTTTATATCCGCCTGCATATTTACAGTGTCGGCCTTGCTCGCCCCCGGGGTTCAGCCTCCAGGTGCATCTTTCATTTTGGTGGGAACAAGCTCCTTTAACCTTTCTGCAGCTAAGGTTGCGGGCAGCAGTCTCTTAGCGTCATCAGAAAGTACCTGGATTTCGCTCTCAGCTGTAAGGAGGTTTTCGCGGGACCCGGAGCTGTGGGTGGTTCCGCGTGCTCCCGGGTGTGCCCGGGGCTCCGGCCCTCTGCGCCCGCGAGCAGTCGGGCTCCGGGCCCTCCCTGCCCTGAGCGCTGGCCACTCCGCTTTGGCTGCTCCCGGGCATCTCGTGGTCTTGGGTCTGCAGCAGTTTGACTGTGAGGTGCCTGGGTGACGTCTTCTCTGGGTTTGTCCAGTTTGGGGGTTCCTGAGTCCTTGAGCCACTGTCATCAGAGGGGAGCCCTTCCATCTGTTGTTTCTTCACTGTTTTCGGGCCCCGGTTATTCAGAGGCTGGGCGACGTCATGCTGCCCCGAGTCATGAAGGCCGCGCTCTTCCGCCCACGCTTTGCTCCTCTTTAAGCTTCAGTCGGCTGCTTTTATCGTCCTGCCTTCCAGTTCGCTGATCTTTCCTTCTCTCAAGCCCATGCAGTAAGTGATTATTCGTTAAACATTACAGTTGTCTAAAATTTCCATTTGATGGGTTTCTTGGTTTCCGTTCCTGCCTCTCCCCGAGATAACCGGGCCAGAGGCTGTGACTGCCCGTGTGTGGCAAACGCACGTTCACGAGGTGGTGCGGCGTCTCTGACGTCAGTTATACCACAGACCTAGAGCTGGATTCGGACCCTCTCTGGGCTCGTGTGTGGAACCCTGACCCCA